CAATAAAACATATCTGTGCAGTGCAAAGGGTGGTACCATTTTAATATTTATTTAAAGTTACATCAGCGTTTCAGTTGTACCTTCTATTAAGTGTTCGCATCCTCATATATTCGATTTTCTATTATATCTGCCAACCTTCTCCTCAAAATAAAACTATTTTCTGCTATGTTTATTCATACTTAGGGTAAAAGCACCAACAGTGGCCACAGTTAACAACATTTATATAGTTTTCGGAACGTCTTGGGTTACATTTCTAAATTCAATATGCCAAACTCAATGGACAATTGCCATATCTCTTTCTGTAAAAATCCCTTACCTAATGATGACCAAATTAATTTTTGATATTGTTTATTAATTTATTCCCAAACCCCTATATTTTTCCAGCACTGGACTGGGAAAAGTTTGGGAATTGTCAGATACTCGACGCGGTAAAGACTAATAGATAGTCCACTCCCTGGACGTGTCTAAGACGTCTTGCCTTCCAAAAAAGACAAGCATTTGTTATTTAAAAGAAGTGAAATACTGATTAAATAAAATTAAAGACCGATATTTAAAATCTTAATTCTGAAACTACCAACACTGCTGAGGTTGCCAGTGTGAGGCTGTTCTGCAAAGCCAAACTGCAATTTAGATGTTTAGCTTTATTTGTGGTGATAAAACATTGAAAATACTTAATTTTGACAGTAATTTATTACTCCAAACTCGCAAGAAAATAGTGTGTCTGCCAATGTACCCCGCGCTAGTGCCACTCTACCCCAAGGGCTGACCAACCCCCCATGTGGGATTGTTTGACGTATCTTGATTTGATGTCTTTTAACGACTAAAAGTTCGTCAAACAAAGATTAACGATTTAAAAAATTTATTAGATAACGTAATAAAAGTAGTTTTCATTGATTCAATTAAACTTGTCAAAACTAAACTGAAGTTATGTAAAAATAATATAGACTGAAAACTGGTGCCAATCAGTTTGGATTCCCCCTAATGTACCTTTGGAAATTCAATATCGTTCAGAATTAGATGCAATATTCAACTTTAAAAGACCAAACATTTTGAATAACTAAAATTTCAGTGCATAGAATCACCTTTTAAAATTAAAACACGAAATTAACGACTAAAATTGAAGTGGAACCAAAAATAAACTTTCATTCTCGAAACTTTAATTCAAGTTATTCAAGATGAAATTCACCGGTTGAAATATAAAATTTGTTGAACAACATTCAAAGGGACCTTCTAAATCTTCTCACTTCAAAACAAAAGATTGTAGTTGAAACAATTCTAAGTGAATGTTAATGGAAGAATCGTTGGTAAATATATTAACTACTATTTGCGAATCATGTTAATATCTTTTATGTACTCTTGTAATCTTCTGAAGTCGACTCGTAACAGTCATCATTTCTGTATTTATCTACTGTTGTTATTCTTCTTAAACAAATTTTTCACTTTTGGGTAGAAAATAGTTTTGAATTTGGTGCTTTAAGTTTGTTTTATCAAAATGACTGGTAGGTGTATAATTCTTATTACAAATCTTTTATTAAAAAGTATGCTCAGTCACTACCTGCATTGAGTTCGCAAGCTGTGGCCAACTCAGCGAGCGCAAATCTTCAACAGATCGTCGTTCGTGGTGTTACGCGAAGTCTCCCTGTTTTTGCGTGACTTCAGAAAAGTATTAATTTTAAACGCGTTGCGTAAGGATAGAGTAAGACCTTCGCGCTCTTCGCTGATCGACAGTGCTGAATCGTCGGCTTCCAAACGATACGCTCAAGATTAATTCCGTTTTTCCGCGCCGTCAAGGTCAGGTTTCGAAATTTCAAGCTGATGTACATTCCCACTGTGAGGAAATAATTGCCGGACTTTCTTCGTGCTAAAAGAAATTACGCGTCCAATAAAGACATTCGAAGAAAGCCTACCCATGTTTTCATTTTTCCTAGAAAGGAGTAAAAAACAAACACTAAATCCAAATATGATGGCTCATCACAAAAATGTTTTACATGAGTGTTTAATTTTCACAAAAAAAGAATGAAACGTATTATTACATAAATAAATCCTCACAAATATTTCATTACAAGAATATTTTAAATATTTTCGAATCATCAAGTAAATTCCTATAAGTGTAACATTCTATTTTGTGTTTCACTTCTTGTTTAACTTTACTAGCAGTCAAACTGATATAATTCTTTCTTTCTTGAAATTTTTCTGTGAAAAAATAAAGTACTTGCTAATTTATGAAATTATATTATTATTGATACTTTTTGGTATTGAGAAATAAAAGGAACTTTCACGTTTCACCTTGTCATTACGTTAGGTAAAAGACACGTTAACAGATACAAAAATGAGACGTACAGAATCCTTCATGAAATGCTGGCTAGAAGGATGTGTACGAGCATTTCAAGTACGAAACTGCTGTGTATTTCTCCTCAACGATTAGGGGATGTTAATAACGAGGTATTCATCGCAATCTGCGTAGTTGAAGGTAACCCAAAGAGAACTCCATTTTTTGTGGTATAAAATAACGCACAACACTTTTAGGGGATATGTTTATTTCATGAAGTTTACATCAGTTCCAAAAAACGGACAAGAGTAATAAATAAAAAATAAAAGCATGATTACTTGTCTTTTTACCTGCCATAATGTCTTAAATCTTTCATTGCTAGATCATTTTGAATATTATGATCATCATATTTGGCATCATTATTTTGACCACATGTTCAGACAGCCCTTGGGCATATCTAGCCGATCATTTTGGGCGGGAGGCATCGAATATTTTTGTTAAATAATAAACATATTTGTTATTATATTGTATATTTATGTACTGTAGATATAATACTATACGAGTGCAATATTATTTTTTAAATAATTACATAATTCGAATACAAATATTTAAATCAATTTTGCCAAATAAAGGAAAGTAAAGGAAGGGAACTTCTTGGCTTTTAGGGGAGAAGGAAATGGGGGCCATGTCCCCCCCTAGATCCGCTAGTGAGAATGCCAAGCTCAGCATGAAAGACTTCACCATTTATTATTTTGTCGGACATGGAAATGATACCATTTTGGCTACGTATTAAACAATTCTTTCTCTACATTTCCATAAGAAAATAAAGTGGTCATGGCATGTTCAGAACCTGCATTTAGGTCGACGTTTGATCAAACTTTTGTGCAGTTCTTTTCTAGAACTTGGTCAGCTTTTGATCTGGGCCTTTTAAGCATCTTATGATGAGAAGAAATTGCATGTGAACTTCGAGAACTTGTGAGTAATGAAGTTGTTTTGATCTAACTCCTTCGATTCGGATTTAGAACCCCGAAAACAAAACTTCCTGTTTCAGAATCCAGGGAATTGAGTTGAAGTTGAAAAGCTGATAACTATTTAAAAGCGGTAATATTTTGATCACGCTCCGTATCCTTAAGGCCAACTATTATTATTAACAAGGGGTATAATGGAAGTTAGAAATAATGTTCCACACTAACCTTTTTTCTTAAAATGTCCAGTTTTTATTTTTTTACAACTTTTTCAAATTTTTGAAGCAACAAATTTTGACAGCTTTTAAAAAAAGAATTGAATCTAAATCATCAGGCATTTAGCGCAATAGTGTTCGTTACGGAATTCCTCAGGCTACCTAGGATGTAGAGAAATCCTGTTGGTCGCCCTGAGCATACTGTTTGAAAAACAAATAGGGAAATATGCGTACAAATCCATGATCTCGCCGCTAAAACAAATGCGGACTGTTATAACACTGAATTATTTTATTTTAGGGCAAAAACGAGACCATTTGAGGGAGAATCATGAGGAAAAAGGTGTGTTTGCCTGTGAGTAAACTTGGAATATTTCCCAGGATTCAACGATGATAGTCTCGTGACCTGGATGACAAGGGAAGTATTGAAATGTCATCGTGCTCATTATTTGCACTCTTCAGAATCGTAGAATAAAAAACTTTCATTAAAGAAAATGATAAGAATTCTGGAAATACATAAGAACGTCTTAGCAATGAATCTGCCTCAATGACTCGCTTTAAGGCAATATTTTCTAGAACACATGTCATGTCTCCGACAGCTGCTGCATTGTCTTTTACTTAATTCAACGGCGATTTGGTTGGCGAACTCAGCACTTCAGAGGAAAATGAATGCCTTTGTATTTATATGGACCAACAAGTGAAAAAAACTAGTTTGCGGTGATAAAAAATAGGGCTGTACATGAATGTTCGTTCTCTCAAGGGACTCGCACGGATATAACAGTAAAATAAATTCTCATCAGCCATATCTGTTTGTAGGTTTTAGGAAACTGTAGTCCCCAAAGCATGTAAAAAAAAAAAAAAAGGATTTGTTTACATTAATTAGGAGCAGGAGAACTGTCTGCCTTTTCGTTTGCAAATCGGTGGCGGTGAGGACAGTGTCCCTTATGGAGGTCGCGGAGAGGAGGCGGGGTTTCCAGAGGGAGTGATGCCGGAAGTACTAGATTCCACGGAGTAGCTGTACCGGTGATGACTTCTGGTATGACCGGAAGGGGAGGGAAGGGACCAAAATCCAAGATATTGTGTGTGAAGTAACTGGTTCAATATAACTTCCAGAGCGATGATCTTGACAACAATGGAAGAGGCAGAGAAAAAGAGAGACGCGATTTACACGGGGTAGGCAAAAACATGTTCTGTGAGGAGAGAGACCGATGCAACAGCGAAGTTGGTTAGCGTGGGTGGGGGGCGGAGGCGTATCAGCGGCACGAGACTGCAATGACCAATGGCCGGCAGCTGCCGACGGAAGCACGTCTGGCGCATTCCGCTATTGGCCGTGCTGCTGACTTCCGCTTTGCGGCGCAATTGTTCGGAAGCCAAGCTGATTGCAATGCACAGCAAATGCACAGCGATGGCGTCTCTCTCCCCACTTACCGACTTACTTGCGACCACTAGACGCGCCCACTTCGACTTGCCTGGCAACTTCCATGCGCTGGACTACATGACTCTGCTATTTTTACGATATATTATGTACTTGCCGGTCGACAGCATTGCGATGTCGTTATATTACATTGCTGGCAGAATCCGGGTTTGATGCCTTTATGGTTTCCGTATTTTATGGGACGGAAACCTTAAGATGTTATAGAATTAACTTTGCTTTCATTGAACATTTATGACATTTGTTCAGAAAATTATTGCACTTAAAATCAAAAATTGCAGATTGTATTGTCGGTTGTTTTGAAATAGCTTTTCTGTTTCGGAGACTGCTTTTCTGAAGGTAATCATGATCAGAATGACCTTTCATCAGCAAGTATAGGTCTCAAATGTAGCAATAAAGTGTCAAAGTGAAATTAATTTCAATAAATACATTTATAGAGGTGTTCTTAAAACAAGGATATGAAGAGTACTGTATTTAGAAGATATGAATTCATGTCGCAGTTCCTAGGAATTTCAAGTTGAGCTGAATAATCTCGTTTTGCTACTAGTTGTCCTGCAAATAAAAAATATTTTTTCAGCATTTAGACATTAAATATTCAAATTATTATATTAATTGTTGATTTAACATACGAAGAGTATCTTCAAGTAATACTATGACGAAAGATACTTGTCAACGTAGCGGCTCAAATTGTGAAAACACCCGTAGATGCAAATGACAAAATGGAAAACAAAAGAAAAAAGTGAACGCTCAGTGAAAAGTATAGTTGTCTTAGGCGTAGTAGGGATACGAAATTGACGTCTGTGTTCTCAAAAAATTTTTTTTTTCAAATTTACTTCGTTTATTAATAGTCATTTTATACCGTCATCGGCGATTTCATTTTGTTTACATCAGTACGTATATAATTGTATCATTACTTCATATGCATTACATCATTGCATCATTACAAATAATTGTATCATTATTATAATAAATTTATCAATTTACTTATTTCCAGTAGTTTCAAATTTTAATGCAACCTCCTTATGAGTAGAACAATGAATATAAGCTGAATTCTATTTTTAGTAATTTCCTAACATTATCAAGTCCATGGCATTCAAAAATAATATGAAAAGAAGACACTGTAGCACCACATTAACAGAGTTCATGGTTGGGTTTTTTGAACAGATAACAGTAATTCAGGTTAAAGTGACCGATACGTAGTCTTGTAATAACACCTTCTCTTCTTTTGAATTATGATTTTGGTAGACCTGGATTCAGTATAGAGATCCTTTCTTGCTGTAGTCAAAACAATGCTTTTGTAAAATTGAGGTGATTCACATACATTTCCGTATTATTTGAACTTTTATAATTTTCGAAAATTTAGTAAGTTCAACTAAAATTATCCCTGCATCATTTTTAACTGTGCCCTTTGCTCGATACAAAAAAATAATTTACATAAAAAATTAACCATATTTTGATATATAAAATATTTTTTATAAAGTGCCTTTACTACAAGCTAAATTTATGCAAAACCTGTTTTTTTTCAAAAAATTGTCCAGTGCCTTATTTATACTTCCAGTTTTTTAGAACTGATCATACTAAAACAAAAACAGTGTCAATTTTCAGAAATACAGAGAAATTACTGAAAACAGGACCAGAGTCATTTTTATTAAGTTACATTCATCGATTTCAGAAATAATTAAAAATATGGAGCAGTTTTGAGAAAATATTTGTCTACAACTTACCTACATTTCAGACAAACTTATGTAAACAACTAGTATCTTCGAAAGATCATGCAAGACCTAGTCTGTCTTTGAACAGATTTTATTAAGACAAAGAATGTGTGTTTTCAATATTATAGTTGTAGAAAAATGTTGAGGTAATTTTTCAACTTTTACAATTTTGGAATATTCCAAATTTGTTTCGAAAATGACACCTTTGTCATTTTTAAGCCTTATGTGCTCTATCCGAGGGAAAGTTGTGAAAATGTTGTTGAGTCGTCACATAAAGTAAAAATAGGAAATAATTTATTATTTTGTATTCTTCAATTTGCGATTAAAGTTGTTGAACGTTTTCTTCTTCTTCCTATTATTATTATTATTATTATTATTATTATTATTATTATTATTATTATTATAGCTATGTTTTTTCCTTTACTTCCTCAGTATGATTCAATAAACGTGGTCACTGTCAATTAAAATCCTCCACCTCCACGAGCGAAATTATGTTAGGGGTTAATTATCAGATTTCACAATTTTCATGTTTAAAAACATCGGGAGTAAAGAGTGATGAGCTACTAAGACAGTTGTTTTAATTTGAACAACGATACGTTGAAATAATATTTTAAAACATATATGTTTTGTTGGTGATGCAGGTCTAATAGGTAGAATTTATCAACAGATTTCATATCTAAATTGTAACGTGATCAAGAAATTTCATCGCTAAATTGTAACGCATAACGAAAGTAATGAGTTTTAGTTATATGAATTATCTAACAATCAATTCAATTGTTCATCTTTGACTTTGTTCAACCTTGACATAGTTCGTTATAGAGACTATACAACTTCCATAGTGACTATACGACTTTAAAGATATAGACGAACAATAGATTGCCATCGATATGTTTTATATCAATTCAGAAAAATGTAACAGTCCTACGTATGATGATAAGTTTAAAAGTGCATACTACGGCTAAACGAACTTTATTTGAGTCATTGATATACGTAATGCATTGAAATGTACATGTTTACATTTTCTCGCTAGTTTTCACTTTCTGGTCTTTTACAATTTTGAACTTATTGTTATATTTACACTCTGAAGTTCTAAACCTCCTGCTAATTTAACAATCAATAGAAGCGCGATTCAATGGAATACTAGTCCAATCAAATATCTTTGTGTGTTTTTCAATAAAATATTCACATGGAAACTTCACATCTTTGCGATAGGAAATGAAACCCAGGGAAAATGTCACAACAGTGTCCCTACTGAACAGAAAATCCTCTTTAAAAATGGAATGTCAGCTTATGATAGGTAAATCGATAATTTTGCCGCTTTTTCGATATTAACATATGCTTGTTTGGGCGAACGCAACACAATCAATAGAATTACTGCAGATAGTACAGAACAAATGTCTCAGAAAAATCATATAAGCGCCCTGGTGTTTTACCCAAATCCATGGTGATCCATGGTGAGCTACGTATGGACTTCAAAATCATACCTCCACTATTTTGGAACGTTTTTATAGTTCACTCTACTCTTCTCGTGCTACGCACCAATGCCGAATAAAATTCAAATTTTCAAAAGATAAATTTCGCCTCTCTTAAGAATATGATAAAGATTAGTCAATAACTAGATTAGTAAATAAATATTAAGTCAAGCCTATTCTAAATTAAACATTATGTAACAAAGGAGCAACTATGTAGAGCTCAAAAACTCAAGGATGCCCTTACCCTTTAGTGAAAGTACTATGGTATTCAAGCCCCTGAAAGGCCACACGGCCGAACAAGAAGTAAATAACTGAAAAAAAAACAACAACAAACAAACCCATTTATGAAGTGCCATAAAACAAATCACTTTGAACATTATTACTACTATAACATGATGTTCTTCATTTATACTCACAAATATATAATATTTTTCTTCTACTTTCGTTCTCGATTTTTCTTCACAACCTGCAACACTTAACCCTAGGATATAGAAGGATTTTCCTTAGGATGGGATGATTTGACAGCTAGTGCTGGCAACACAACTGACGATTCTGTGTCCTTGAACTTAATAGACTCTCCTTCCTCCATTCGTTCGTTTGCAGTTGGCTAACTTGTAAGAAGCCACGACGCTCCCTGCTGTGATGTCCTCGTCCGACGAAAATATAGTGCGCCACGAGAAATAATTGAAATTAGGAAGTGCAGAGCTTTGTGCTCTAATGTAAAAATTCGTTTTTTTTATAAAAAATATATTGAATTTAGTTTTTATGTGATAAGTATTATGTTTGTTTCAAAATCGAGTCTTGAATGTGTGATACGTAGTCGCCACGGTGCACATGTTTCCGGCCTCTGCAGAAAATTTAGTAAAGCTTTTAGTTGTAGATCAAGACATGCATTGAAAAGCATAACATTAGTGAAATATAAAACAATCATTAAAACACATTTGAGTTATGAGATCATAGTACCAAGTTTTGATAGTCGGAATGTATTAATTATAAATAAGCCACCCTCAACACCACAAAGTGTTTGAGCAATTTGCTGTGAAACGTCCAGAAAAGGTATTTGAACATCCCATGAAAAATCAATTTTCTTTCTATTTACATTCGTGGCAGTTTTCTTTTATTGAATGTGATATTACGTTAAGATATTTTCCCATTTATGTAAATAAATTTCTATATTTCCCGGACTCGCGTGGTGCATATAACTAAGCGAAACTCGGACATCTCGTCAGTGATGTCTCGCGTGAACCGTAAACAAACCCTACGAAGGGGCGTAACTAAACAGCTGACGCGGCGGAGGGATACTTCTCTGAAATAACGTGATGTTCACTTGTTTTTTCCGATCTGTCACTTTATCCCATCGTAAGGAAAATTCTTGTATACATATGCAGGGCCTCAACGTTTTATATTTCGCTTTTTACTCGGCATTTCCAGCGGCATTTCTAAGTGTTTGCTCTCCATGTAACCTTTCTTTTAACTTCCTACTGTCATTTTAGTCACTAGCAAAGGAAAGATTCCCAGAAGTGTTATAGGTAGGTCTTGAAGTTTGATTCTATTACGTCAATTCATATGTAGGGCTTTTAAGACCCTATTTAAAGGATTAAAGTCATATTAATAGTTATTCAACAACTACGTTAATCATTTGTTATACTTTACAAGTTGACTTTTATTAAAATTATTAAGAAACTAAGTTATTAAGAGGAATAAAATTTGTATTTTTCGAGAGCGTATTGCGCAGGGTGTCACAGGCCCTGCATATACATTTATGTAGTTTCTCGAGTCCATGACTACTAGGGTTAAATACATAGAAGGGAAGAATATAAGGAAAAGTAAGTGTAAAACATAATAAAAACAACTACACTTGTGCAAACGATAGGATCCAACGGCATTGCTCGATGCAACGTTTGATTACATCAACCATGAAATCTCATTCTATGTTATGAGTGTGTAACGTACGTAAATTACATAATGCCAACTTTTTCATTTTACTGAAATATTCTGTTTAGCTCTTTTTAGGCTCTTTAACTAATTTTGCAATTTTTTGCCTTTGTATGTTCCTTCAGTAATTCTACACCCCAGAAGCAAACCTCCGAATACAGCCCTCAAATCACAACCACTGCTAGGGAATAGCGAAATTATCTCCCTAGATACTTAAAAATCATTTTTTAATATTTTCATTGTTTAGTATTTACGCATCTTTTATTTATCAAAAAACTTTATTTGTGCACGGAGATACTCACAAGGAAGATACACGTATTTAGTTAAAGAATGGTTGGTGAAGCTTTAATAAACTGAACAAAATAGTTCGGAGAAATATTATGACGTAACATAGTAGCATTTTTATTCACAATTCATTTATTCACTTGAAGAA